GTGGAGAAAGGGCTGATTCCAAGGCTGGGGCAGGGTAGGTACAAGACGAACCTGGAATGTCTTGTTATTCCAGAAATAAAGCACTCAAATGACAAGGGTGTATTGCAAGGACACAGGAGTTTCCACTGGCTAATTCTGGGACAATTTAAGCAATGGAATAATTAAGTACAATAATGAATTATTAAACCATTGAAAAAGTAGTTATTCATATGTCCACACCGATAATAAATAGATAGATAGATGGTAGAGAAGAGCAGTCTCATGCTTTTACAGCAGAGTGCCAAGAGCTGAATGGCACAATGTGGAGAGAGTGCTGGAGTTGGAAATTCATTTTTGCCACACCATAATCAAGATTGGTTCACACAAGAATCATCAATCTGTGCTCAATATAAGAGGAAATTTTGATGAGAAGCAGGGTATTTGCATGGTCTTAAGCTTTCCCCACAAACTGCTTGTTAGTTACAAGGGAGGGGGAAAAACCAGTAGTTTTTAACAGTGGAATAATCGGGCTTTTCTTGACTGGAGATCAAAATTATCTTCACTTGTGAGGGACAGATGAACATTGTATCCCTCTAGATCTGGTACCCTGAGCAGGTTGAGAATGTCAACTAAAAGTGTATAATCTAATCACAATGGGAAAAAATCAGACAGACGCAAAGTCTGAGGAATGAACTATGACTGCTACTACTACAGTCCTGCAGAGAGAGCTGTTTCTTCAAAAAACTGTCAGTGTCTTAAAAGACACAGAAAGGCTGTGGGAATGTCCCAGATTCAAGGAGGATAAAGAGACAGCAAAAATAATACCTCATCCTAGACTGGCCGTGCTGGCGGAGGTAAATGTTATAAATTATTGGATCAGCAGACAAAATTGGAATATAGGCAGGAGATGAAATTGTTGTGTGAGTATAAATTTCTGAAGTAGATGACTGTACTGTGAGTATATGAAAGAATCTCTCTATTCTTCTCAGGAAATACTCTTGGAATTATTTAGTAGTAAAGAGCCAATATGAATCTAATTTACCCTCCAGTGGCTCAAAAAATAAATACACTCACACGCAGATACACACGGAGGGAACATGCACATGCAAATGATAAAACATACGGAATAAAATTTTAACAGTAGGTGAATCCGGGTAAAAGATATGCAGATGTTCCTTGTGCTATTTTTATTTTGCACCTTTTTTAAGTTTGAATTTATTTTTAAATAAAAAGATTTAAAAAAATAGATCCTTGTAGAACCTACTTTTTTATTACCTCTCAGAATAGATGTATCCTGTCTTTATGCCCTTATTCTGAAAGATTGCATTTTCTCTTTCTCTTTGCCTGCCTCCACATCCCCCTACAACAGACATTCCTCTCCTGTTATTCTAGCACTACTTTCTGACATAAAATCTAGAGCATCAACCACAAACTTTATCTACAAAGGATTTCAAATCTTTCAAATCTGGTAATCTCCATTTATTCTCCCCAAGTATATTCTAGAAGTAACTTGAAGCCCTGTTGCTTATAAATCTAAAGAAATTGAACAATTTCATATTCCAGCTAGCCAGTGATAGCTTTGTCTTCTTAGGTCTAAGGCAAAGATGTCAAATACCTACAACCCCATAGTAGATATCACTATTACAGCAGTTTTTTCTACTGCTCAGAATTTATTTCAGGAGCTTTGTAAGTAGATATTACCAGTCATTGAGAGTTAGTCCTTGAGTTGAAACCTATTTACCATTCCTGGTCTGAGAAATTTCCCCCTAACCTTGGATAGTGTACCTTCTTTTTAGTCAGGGATTACATTCTGTTCCTAATCCACATTTTATGCCATTTCATGGACCCAAATATCCTTTAACTATTTGCTTCCTGTATTTTTAAAACACTATTTGGAGTTATGGATATACGCGCCCATGCACACTTAGTCTGAGCCATAATATGGCATTTGTTACATAGACATTTATATATATATATATATTTCATCTCTATTACTGGACTCTAAGTAAGAGGGCAAATACTATGGTTTTTACCACTTTGTATCTCCTTTAAAAGTAGTCTAATCAATTTATATGTACTATTGCGTTCTTGTTGCTTGGATTTATTTTCTATAGCATTTTCTCCTCCATCTGTATAGTATACTGTGTTTTGTGTAACCATACATGTATCTAAGTTTATCCCTATCAGGATATTTTTAAAGGAGTCAGCTTCTACCGTATGGCTCCTATTATTTACCAATTATTGGCTAGCTAGGTCTCTTTCAAACTGGCAGAACCTAATTGGAAGAGGCGACACATTTGCCTGTTTCTCTTTAGACCCTGTTTTCTACTTTGAACACACTCAATAACATGGGCCAGAAAATTTGAAGATACTCCTGTTTCTAGGAACGGGATGAATAGGTTACGTCTTTATCAGCTGCAGTTGAGCTGTCAGTTGGAAGCTGCAGGTTTGGCTGAAGCTAAATTACGCTTTAATCATTGGTTATAGTATTTTGGTCAAATGAATTCCTAAAGTGAGTTTTTGCATGTTAGCTTTTCTCTAGGGCTTTAATATTTTATATCTGAACAAGATTTGGTTCTCCTTATATTTTAAGATCTTCGTGTTTGCACCAACCAAAAGAAAAGCTTCTTGCAGAGGCAAGAGCAGTCTGACTCTCAGATACTCGTTAACCTCAGTGGCGCTCACTGAGCTCCCTAGGATAGGAATCTTCCTTTCCAGTCTTGATTCCGTTCCATAATATGTTGGATGTGACTTGTCATTGATCATATAATGTATGCCAGAGGTATGTCAAATGTATTTTGATAATGCAAAAAAGTAAGGTGATACTAGGCGAGCTTGTTTATTAGTTTTTATAAATAATTAAGCTTTGTAAATGTCATTTGATCTAAAGAAAAATAAATTTTATAGTGGAGGATGCCGAAGTAATGTATAAATGAGACCCTAAAAATATATAAAATATACCCTTACGAAGGCAGAATATTGCTAGTTGGTCCTTATCAGTTGCCTCTGGATTGTGTGGATCACCACTCTTCAATAGCACTTTCACTGATGATAGAAATGTTCTGTAATCTGTGCTGATTGGTACAGCACTAGCCACCAGCTGCTGTGGCTATTTAACACTTGAAATGTGGCTAATGTGACTGAGGTACTTATTTTTAATTTAATTAAATTTAATTAGCCTTATGTGACTAGTGGGTACCTTATTGAACAATTTAGTTAGGGACCCAAAAAAAGTGTTTTTAATCCAAGAGTCAGTTTTAATCTACTTTGAGATCTCTAAAAGCTCTGTTTACATAGCAGTAACAAACAGAATTAGATCATGGAAAATCATAGAGGGCCTATGGATGTGAGAAACATGAGTGCAGAGATGTTAACATATAGAGATTTTTATGAAGGAGCCAAAATACTTATTTTAATTAGAAGTGCGGTATAGGTCAAAATGGAAAATGAAACATAGTGGTATAATATATTCAGTTCTACAAGTATTTATTGGATTCTTCTGGGCCAGATACTATGTTAAACTTGCAGCAGGGATGGCAGATTTTGGGCGGGCAAATGATCCCCTCTTGTACCTATCACAGACATGACTAATAGATGACTGCAGAGTTCTTCAGGTTTTTTCCCGTGCTTGAATAGAGGTAATATCAGAATGCTTTTCAGTAGAGTACTGCAAGCCAAGTTGGCATACAAGAGAATATGTTTAATGTCTCTGCACTAGAGGTACAGAGATGAATAAAAAGACACAATAATGCCTTCTCTCACGGGGATCAATCATATTCTAATACTGTACAAGTAGATTATGGGGTGTGTATAGAAAATAGTACAAAAGAAGGGGAGTGATCTAGAATGGGAATTTTTAACTCTGGTTGCCACAAGCTTTTAGGGATATTTGAATTGCAAGATGTTGAATGTTAATAAAGTCTGTTTTTCTGTGGAGACGGTTCATAGCTTCTAAAAAAGATAAAAATGGTTAGGAACCACTTATTGGGTAAGGGGCAGTCAAAAAAGGGTTCCACAGGAGTTTATGTCAGATTGGGTTTTAAAAAGATTAAATACTCATTTGCTAGGTGGGCAGGCAGAAAATAGTTAATGTCAAGGCCTGAAGACGTGAAATAGCATGCTGTGTGAAATTTGATCCTGCTCAGTCGTAAAGTACTGGTGAGACTGGAGAGGCAGGGTCCAGAAGGGCCTCAAACAATTCCAAGGTTTTGGATTCTGCGGTGATGAGAAGTTAAGAGGAGGAATTAAGTGAGGGGAAGATGTGAAACAAATTTTAGTATCATGCTACTTAATATTTTACTTAAATTATCTTCAATCTAGTTTAATTTTGATAAGAAATTGAATGACATTTGATAATACAGTGTAGAGCAGTGGTTCTTGCCCTTTTTTCCAAATCTTGACAAAGATAAGAAATACCTCACATTTCTATCACCATGACATTGGTTCTCATGAGGGAACAAACCTCCTTAGCAGGAATGCATTCACTGAATGATAGCTAGTACTGTTATTGGCATTGGCTTCTAACACCTCAGCTTTAAATACCACTCCCTAAGCTTTTGGTAAAGTAGTTAAATAATCTATAAAATAGGACTTACTCTGGAAACAATCTTATTTAAATACCTTATCTTTTTATATTATGTCGAATCATACGAAACTGCTGATATTTTATCACTTTTGAGCTACAAAACTTTCATATAGTTCAGCCCAATATATTTAATAATCTCTTATGTTCGTAATGGGCTTCCAGATTATTTGCCTTTGGTGGTGGGGGAAAGGGGTCTCATCCATTGTCTTTTATCACTTGTATCCATATTAACAGTAAAGATAATCTCCTTTCTTAAACTTTAAATGTGGGAAACATGTATCTGTAAGCTTAGATTGTGAGTCTGAAAACAAACTCCAAAATAATTCTTTCTTAGTTCTTTAGGAAAATCTAGGTCCTGTTCTTATGTAGACATCTGGGAGAGGTTTTTGTTAGTGGATTCGCACAGTAAATGATTGCTTATGGTTTCTTCTGTCAGCTTTTAGTTTGGATGCTGAACAGCCTGATTATGATTTGGATTCTGAAGATGAAGTATTTGTGAATAAACTGAAAAAGAAAATGGACATCTGCCCACTGCAATTTGAGGAGATGATTGACCGTCTAGAAAAAGGCAGTGGTCAGCAGGTACAACTTCATTGTATATATAATAAGTGTGTGTGTGTATATATCTCTGCAAACACTTACATTTCTGTGGAAACAGTATAATGTTGGGGAAAGGCTAAGTGAGCAGGCTCTGGAGTTAATTAGCATGAATTCATATCCCATCTCTACTCATTACTAACCTGTGTAATCTTGAGCAATATGTTTAAATTTCTCTGCCTCAGTTTCCCCATCTGTAAAATAGAGATAAGCATCATAGGATTGATGTGAAAAATAAATAAAATAACGTATATAAAGCACCTGGCTCAGTGTCTCACATGTATAATGAGTCCACATGTTCGCTGTTGTTAATACTGTTACTTTGATTATTGTCATTTAAATTTACAAGTACTTTTGAATCTTATATATGTATTATATGAAAATGACATAGTGATTTTACATTTAGCCAGTCAGTCTGCAGGAAGCCAAACTGCTGCTAAAAGAAGATGATGAATTAATTAGAGAAGTTTATGAATACTGGATTAAAAAGAGAAAAAACTGTCGAGGGCCGTCTCTCATCCCATCAGTAAAACAAGAGAAGCGAGATGGTTCTAGCACAAATGATCCTTATGTGGCTTTTAGAAGACGTACTGAAAAAATGCAGACTCGAAAAGTAAGTGAATTTAGGAAAAATTTTTTGTAATTCCTTTAGATGTGAGAAAAATTATTTGTTAGGCATGAATATCTCAGTATCTGAAGGCCGTGTTTTAATTTGTGGGGTTTTTTTTTTTCTTTTTTTTTTGCAGTAACATTGGATTATAACATTATATAACTTTCATCTGAATATATTTAATATATTTCCAATTCTGTGTCGATTACAGTCATGTTCACCACCCAAAAACTAATAATAATTATATTTGTGTTTTAAATAGACTTTTATACAAGATAATGAAAAATATTAATTTAAAATAAGTCAATCTTAAGATTCATTATGGAGCTGTTAGTGACATATTTTAATGTTAATCCATTTAAAAATCATATACAAAATTGATTTCCTGGTGATTCATGCTCCCTTTCAGTGTCTTTAAATTCTAATGTAATCCTTCAAATATATATATTCTTATATATCAACAGCCATGCTTAGAATGCCACTAGTTAGAAGTGCTTATTGAGATTAAACAAGCAACTTCATGTTTGCAGAATCGCAAAAATGATGAAGCATCTTATGAAAAAATGCTTAAGCTGCGTCGAGATCTAAGTCGGGCTGTTACTATTCTAGAGATGATAAAAAGAAGAGAAAAGAGTAAAAGGGAGCTATTGCACTTAACACTGGAAATTATGGAAAAGAGGTAAAGTTTATTTTAATAGTGTTAGAAAGTATAGTACCATTAGCATTTTCTATATTGAGTTGATTTATTTCATAAGCAATTATCTGTAACTCCAGAAATATCTTCTTTTAATAATAGAAACTATTTAAATGTGTGGTATGGTGTACCTTCTATACTTCTGCATATGTTCCTCTCTTTATTTTCTTTAAAAGTGACTCGGTTCAGTAAAATTAAAATCTGCCAGGTAGGTGCTGACCCTGTGGCCAAGTGGTTAAGTTTGTGCACTCTGCTTCAGTGGCCTAGGGTTTTGTTGGTTTGGATCCTGGGTGCAGACCTGGCACTATTCATCAAGCCATGCTGAGACGGCATCCCACATAGCACAACCAGAAAGATCTGCACCTAGAGTATACAACTACGTACTAGGGGGCTTTGGGGAGAAGAAGAAGGGGGAAGAAAAGAAGATTGGCAACAGATGTTAGCTCAGGTGCTGATCTTTAAAAAGAAAAAAATATACACCAAGTATTTCCATTTTGAAATCTTATTCTTTTGTCCTTATTTGAGTTGTGTGTGGGGCAGTGAGGGAGAACATTTGTCAATTCTCAAGTTTTTATTTCATTCACTAGATGGTACTGAGGGTTTTTTTTTTTTTTAAACATATACTGGGTTTTTTAGCAGAAATATATAGAAGGGAAGGGAAACGGCCCATAATCTTAACACTCAAATAACCATTCAGCAAGGCATACAATAAAAACTTCAAGCCTCACTCCCCTATTTTTTAGTCCCTATGCCCAAAGAAAACCACTATTAAATTCTTGTGATTCATTTTAGAAAAAATAGTTTTATAGCACAGGCAATTCAAATTAGTAGAAAGTTCCTCCTTGCCATTTGAGGCATTAACTTCAACATCTTTACCAAATCTTTCACCAAAATTGCTAAGTTAAAATTCAAACCTTTGGTTTTTTCCCACACTCATCTATTTATTTAAGATAAAGCTGTAAGCCAAAAAGTAAAGGAGGAAACAAAGGAATTTTTACGTAGTCTTTAATTTTAGTAAGCATTCAGCAAATAGTCAAAGTTTAACTGTAATCTTACCTGAAGTCTAATCAGTGTTTATAATTATATATCTGTTAGTTGTTAATAGTCATAAGGATAAGTACTTACAGAACTAACTTTTTAAACTTTCTTTTTTATAATTTCAGGTATAATTTGGGTGACTACAATGGAGAGATCATGTCTGAGGTTATGGCACAGAGACAGCCAATGAAACCTACTTATGCCATCCCCATCATCCCTATTACTAATAGCAGTCAATTTAAACATCAGGAAGCAATGGATGTGAAGGAGTTTAAAGTTAATAAGGTGATAAAAATTTTCTTGATAATAGTACCTGATAATAGAGTGCTGTTTTATCATTAGAATCAGAGTGAAAAAGAAAAATACATATAAACTCTACCGTGAAATTTGCTGCAAAGCCAGCTTTTGATTCAAGATAGGCCTGTCGATACAACAGTGGAAATTGTAAAAAGAGAGATCTTTTAGTGTAATAATTCAATTTTTAATCATTAATTTTTCCCAAAAAACCATAATGCCATAAAATTTGATATAAATGCATAAAACCTGATATAAATATTTAACATATTTACATAACCACACTTGCCATGATCTTTTTCTTCCCAACAAATATCATTTTTGCCTCTAATCTTTCTTTACTATTGCTTCCTCCACATCAAATTCATACCTCACCTAGCCTTTGCCATCACCTGCCATACGTTTCTAACATGCACTATATTCATTAGCTCAATCACTCTTGCATCTATATTTTATTTTTGTTTCTTGTTTAATGGTTTCATATCATTATGCTCTAAAACTGTTCAAAATTCAGCACTCCAAGAAGCCTCGTTCAGCTGGCAAATCCTTACTATTTATTTTTGTAACACCTCAGCATTATGGCTTTATTTTCTGCTACGTTCACAGTTATCTGAAGTTTGCTTTGTGTATATATAAAATCATTTTCATTATTTTCCCCATATTGATTTGTTAATTCTTTAGAGTAAAGACTAGATGTCCCTTTTTTTAAATTCTCTGTAGAATTTTCATAAAAAATTAAGAGAAAGATACACAACCAGCAGTAAATATTTTAATTGCAGTTATAGATTTCAGAAGCTAGAATACTTCTAGTCTCTTGTACTTTAATTGAAACAAAATACTTTATGAGATTATGTTTAGGTTATAGGAGCATATTCGTGTTTTCACAGAGACCAACCTCCAAGGCTTTATAAGATGACAAAACATCAGTCTTGTATCTCTGATGAGTATGAATGCCTTCTTTTTAGACTTCTTTTTAAAACTTTCCCAAAACTGCAGGTTTGTTGAACACAGTTCCAAGCTGTACTAGTGTTTTATTAATTCATGACTTTATTACAGCAAGATAAAGCTGATCTTATCCGACCTAAACGTAAATATGAAAAGAAGCCCAAAGTCTCACCGTCGCCTGCTGCTGCTGCTGCTCAGCAGACGGGTCCTGCTGCACTGCCCGTCTTTACTGCTAAAGACGTGAATCAGTACGACTTTCCCAGCTCAGATGAAGAGCCTCCTTCCCAGGCGAGTGTAAGGGTCTCTCTGGGAAGATGGAGAGGGGATGTAGGAACTCACATGTTTTGACTCGCTTCATTTTGTTTAAAGGTTTTGTCTGGCTCTTCGGAAGCTGAGGAAGAGAATGACCCCGATGGTCCTTTTGCTTTCCGTAGGAAAGCAGGCTGTCAGTACTATGCTGTAAGTTTCAGCCTTTCTTTTTAAATAATAAACTGTTTACGTTTAACTGACAATAAAATAATTTGGATTTCTCTTTTAAGCCTCACTTAGACCAAACTGGCAACTGGCCTTGGACTAGTCCTAAAGATGGAGGATTAGGGGATGTACGATATAGATACTGCTTAACTACCCTCACCGTACCCCAAAGGTGTATTGGATTTGCACGAAGACGGGTTGGGCGCGGGGGAAGGTAAGGTATTTTCTGTATTCCTAGCATAGGGATATTTTAGACAGTAGAGTAATCAAATCTAAAGTTTAAAGTGAGGTAATCCTTCTAAATAGCTCATTTTGTTCCAATTTGCCATTCTTCACTGATTTTTTGACTGAAATATTTTGCCACTTTGCTACCTGGTTCTTATACAGCCATAGGTTTTAATGCATAACTAGTGGGTCCCTCGTGGATCTGCTTTTCTTCCCAAGATTGTAAACTTCAGATATCTGTGTCCTCAGGGATAGAAGTCTGAGAAAATGCAGCAGATGAAGGCAAGTGTAAGTCATAATTGCATAAATCACATTAAGTTAAAAGAATTACAAAATATCACTAGGCCCCAGTGGCCTGGTGGTTAAGTTTGGTTCACTCCACTTTGGTGGCCCACGTTCAGTTCCCAGGTGTGGACATACACCACTCGTCTGTCAGTGGCCATGCTGTGGCAGCAGCCCACAAACAAAAAGAGGAAGATTGGCAACAGATGTTAGCTTAGGGCGAACCTTCCTCAGAAAAAAAAATATTGTTCAAGAGTTCTGGGAGATAATTGAGAAAAATGATTAAATAGGCTGAGAAATGTCGTATATCTAGTATTACTGAGTTGTTTAACTCATCAGTGAAAAGGCTTGAGTTTGCATGCATGATCTGATTTTGACCTCCCAGTCAGCATCTAATCGCTCTTCTTCCTTTGTTTAAACATGATAGAACCCCTTCGTACTCTAGCTGCCTTTATGTGAGAAGGTGTGTGGGGGGAAGGAAGGAATTGCAGAATGCGTAAAATTGAGGAAAAATTTCTTCATATATAATGTGAAATATCAAGGTGTTTTCAGGAAGAAGCCTAAGGGTATAGCTTATGATAAATTAATGGCTTATACATATGTTTCTTTCACTTTTGAATTTTAATTGCAATTTTTATCACTTAAACATTAGCTTGGAATTATCTGGGCACTAAAATACATTTTATTTAGTACTTTTTCCCCCATCATTACATTGACTTCAATAGTAGTGAAAATTCTCTATGTTGACTGTATTTTATTCTATACTGGCATTAAGCGTTAATCAATGTTAGGGTGTTAGCCTTTAAGATGGAGTCATTTATAAAGTTTATATAAATAACAAAAATATGTCCTCTGGAGTTGTGTATCTCCAATATTTCGTCTATAAGAAATTTTAATGGTATAAAATACCCTAAGGTATTTTAAGGGTACTTATTTTAAATACCCTTACCCCCCACCACCACCCCAAAATGAAGTTTTTGTTTAAATAGAGAACAGGGATGTTAGCAACATTTTATAAAGTGTTCTGTTGCTTTGTAATGGAAGTAAAAATCTTTGAATGAAAAGCAATTTGGAAAGAAAAATACTCTTATGTTATCAGTAACTTATACTGGTAGAGAAACCCATAGAACTCTTGGAAGACTCTTGCTATTGTAAAATAGACAGTATACCTTATTCTTTAAGATAGATTGTTCTCTTTAATTGGATCGTTATAAAGTAAATACAGAACCTTTATTAGAAATTGAGATTTTAGCCTATAGAACCAAATATTGAAATAATCAAATTTATAACTTTTAAATATTCAGTATGAGATGGCTTTTTGGGAGCTGGGAGGAAAAAGAAAAACCTTTTCTATGTAATTTTTGAATAGCTATTTCAATCTCTGTTTCCTGCCTTGTTTTTCATAGGGTCTTACTGGACAGAGCTCACTCGGACTATGACAGTGTGTTTCACCGTCTGGATTTGGACATGCTTTCCTCACCACAACATTCTCCAGTCAATCAGTTTGCCAATACCTCAGAAACAAATACCTCGGACAAATCTTTCTCTAAAGACCTCAGTCAGATACTAGTCAATATCAAATCATGTAGATGGCGGCATTTTAGGCCTCGGACACCATCCCTACATGACAGTGACAATGATGAACTCTCCTGTAGAAAATTATATAGGAGTATAAATCGAACAGGAACAGCACAACCTGGGACCCAGACATGCAGTACCTCTACGCAAAGTAAAAGTAGCAGTGGTTCAGCACACTTTGGTACGTTTACTTATTATGATGTACGTTTCTGTAGAAATGTCAGGTTCATCAATTTTTTGAATATGTGGTCTATTATATTACACCTAAAAGTTCTTTTCTCTCAAAATAGTTAAAAAAAAAAAAAAAGACCTAAGTTTAAAGTATTTATTTGAGTCTGTTTGTACGTGTGTCTTCATTTAAACATACCCACATACAAAGGTGGTTTATTACTCTTTAATGTATGACATTTGTTTCCTGGATGCACTCTGTGAACCACAAGATGTAGCAGTTATATTTTCAAATAATATGAGAAGAAAATGGACCATAAATTGTTACTGTTTTATACTTGTACACTTCTCTAGTCTTTTACTTAGCTTATTGATAGATATGCAAAACCCTGTCTGTTGACACAGTAATTCAGAATAATTTATAAGAAAGAAACTAATTTTTCAGAAAAGAGTATTTAAGTTAATGGATTATTTTAGTAATTTTGGAAACATTTTCAGATAATATCTACCTTAGCATTATGGCTGCAATGTGAAATGTGTCTAAATAAATACTGTCTACTTAAAATATTCCTAAAATTTTAGCTTTCTGTTTTAAAGCATAAATTTGTGTTATTTGAGGCATATAGATTATAGAAATTCACTTAAAATTATGTTACTACAGATTTTTGTAAAGACAATTTAAATATAGTTTTTGAAAGGACTATAAATTTATTTATTCTGCCCCGCTAATCATCTGGTAAGGCAACAGTTAAACTTTCTAATAAATATGAAAACATGCTTCTTATTCTTAAAGACCTCCAGAGATTCCATAAAGTGATTTACTTTGTAGTTAGATAAAACGTACTTCTATGAAATGGAAGTCTTTCAGCTCATAAGAAAAATAATCACGTTTCAGAAATCAACTAGACGATAATCTAAATTATTCTGAGGCCTAACAGGTTATATATAATCCCACTAATTTCAGAGTGTGTATCATGAAGAGTTAATTTCTCTCTGCTTTTATAGTCTTAAAAATCAAAATGAAGAATTTTTCAGTATGAAAGAGGAGTTATATATAGTGAGTATAGAGATTTTAAAGATATAAACTAGTATATACCTTTTTTTAAACTGCATAAAATTTTTTGAGACTTTTCACAGAAAATTGGCGTGTTCCATCAATCCCCATCTTCCTCACCTCTTAAAAAGAGAAGTTGAATTGTGTAACTATCATAAGAATCTTCTAATGATCTTTTTTATGTGAATTGTTTTCTAGTACTACTTAACCACTGATACTGTAAAACTTACTTGATTAGTTTGCCAAAGAATATGAAAAGGTGAACATTGAACGGTGGTGTTACCCACAGTTTAGCTGAAAAAAATCTTTAGTAACTGTGTAATTTTCTTTTTAATCATTTTCCTTCCCCTAAAATGTGATACAACTTTTAAAAAATGGGTTTATCAATTTTTTTTCTGTGGCAATCATTTTCAGTTTTCCCTCAGTTTACTAGGTCTTCCTGTCTTTCTAGAGAATAGATGCCTACAGATTGCTATAGGATAATGCTTTATTCTTTTATATTTGTGAGTATTCCAAAAACTGAAAGCTTTTCTCTTTATGCTCTATAAAGTATATTACAGTGGAGTCGTATCATATGTGCATTTAACTTAAATGAATTCAACTGTAAGCCCCTGGAGAAAAAACCAAAAGTTAGTAGTTCAAATGTTATACAGGATTCTGAATACAGTTCTATCAAAAGAATGTCTTCTCCGTGTGGGCCACTCCGGGAATGGGAGAAGTGAATCTGTTATTACTCCCCTTGCAGCATAAGTGCCTGCATTGCCTCCTCATCCACAGGTTAAGCATCTTACCTTGGTTAGTGTGATTATAGTTTTAAAGATAAATTTTTTTTCATATAACATGGCCCCCAGATATAAACCAAACTATTTCATCTGGTACTCAGCCACAGAAACTCTGATCGAGTCTGCTGCCAAAGGAAAAACGGGCTGTGGTCGGGCCTTTTGAAAGAGATGAGTCTCCATCGTGGTACACCCTAAAGGAACTTTCAAGGCTTAATTTTTACCCTGCTGACTTTAGAACTTAACCATTGTATGAGATACAAGTCAGTTAATGCACTTGCCTGCTGCTTAACCCAAATGTGTGGATTTTGATTTAGCCATTTTTGATTATTCTATCATTGTTTTCAATATAAATATTTATACCTATGCTGTAACAAAGTGATACCCTCTGGACTGATTGTCCCTTTTCTAAATAATCTATATGGGCTTATTTGTTCTCATTTTCAAATAGGAAATTCTAAATGAGGATGTCAGGAGCCCATTATTTTTAGTAAAGGGCATGAGCTTTAACCTACCAACTTCTGTAGCCTTTATTTCAACTACTCAGAATCTTTTTGTTTGCTTCTGGTCTGGGGCATTTTGCCTAGTTGTATGGCCAGGGGATAGTCTGGTTAGTCAGGTGTTAGGTGTCTGGTTAGTCAGGTGCTAGAATGTTTGGTCCTCTGGATACAATACAGAATGACAATGTTGAAGAACTTGGGAAGACTTTCTATATAGGTATTTAGAATTTCTAGGACTAGGCTTTAGTACTTAAAGATAATTTGTATATTTTTAATATTTGGTTAATATGTTATTTAGACAGTTTCCAAATACAATTTTCTAATTTTTTTTTTTTAATTTGAAAATTTAGTGTTTATTCAGTGACTAGGTATTCATTTGCATGTATTTGAGTTTGGGGGATATCGGACATCAGAATTAATACTTTTTTTCATTAAGACAAAAATTAATACTTTTTTAAAGAAAGGACTCTATGTAATTCAGAAAGACGAAAAACAGAAAAGTGATTTTAAAACCACCATTATGTTCAGGATTTGAATTCCTAGTTCCCAGTAAAATTCATCAGCATTCTAAGTCATTTTTCTAAGTTCACATATCTGTGCTAAAGACTTGGTTTATTTTCATAAGTGAATAGGAAATATGTAGCTAGAATGATATGTATTAAGTGTCAATATCTGTGGCTTAATGTAATTTACTTCAGTTTGTAACATAACATTTTAATCTTACTATAGAAAAGGAACTCTAGATTTGAGCACTGGGTATATTTTCATTGTTAGATTTTGTAAGTCTTCAAGACCTTAATCCTTATCCAGATGTGTTTCAAAATTCAGCACTATATCCTCGTCAGAGACTGGAGTGACACCCGTAGTAAAATACATCAATAGTTCTGTAGTTGTGTAGTAAAGTGCAAGAATATTCACACTAAGTGGAATATTTGACCACAAATAATCTCATGTTAAGTCATTTGCAGCCAAATGCTTTCAGGTTTGGTCATGTTTTGCCATCAAATGAATTACAACAAACTTGTTTTCAGATTGGATTTCTGGGTGACTGATAGGTGCTCATGAACCTCAAAACTATCAATTCAAGCTTACTGATTAAGGGATCATACTTTAATACTGTCTGGAATCATTTCATTTATATTTATTTCTTTAAAGTTACCTTTTTTCCTGCATTAAAATAACTTTTGACCTGTGTACGACTCAAAGAAATTTATGATTGGCGGGTATCTTTTAAAATAGGTGTTTGGGTTTGTTGTTTTAAACAAAATGTACATTTTGATAATCTAGAATCCATCTTCTCAAACTGAATTTTAAAATTGTTTATTTTTTTCCTAAGTACCTGTTACCCTCCCCACCCCCACTTCTTTGGTCATTGAGGTTGATCTGCTCCAGCCACAGAAATGTGGCTTAAAGGACAGCAGCCTGAACTGTAGTTTCTTCCAGGCGCTGGTGTACCACATGGTGGTTTCCCTGTATAAGAAGTGGACTCATAAAACCTTAGACTACGTCATCTCAGTTCCTACCCTAGAGAATTGTTAGAAGACACCAAAACAATGGTAGTTTCAGACCTCTGCCTAGACACTTCTAGTGAGGGCAAATTCAGCAGCTTTCCAGATCAAGTTATTCTACAGTTGAGAATCTTATTTAGAAAGTTTGTCCATATATTGAACAAGTGCTGCCTCCGTAAAGTTTAAATCTACAGGTTCCCATTTTGGCTTTGGAAGCATACTGAGTAAATTTTCTTGCTCTCCAACATTATAGTGTCCTTCAAATATTTGACGTCCTGTCATGCTCCTTCCCTGTCCTCAGCTTTTAATCATGTCCCTCACATGACTCTTCTCTACCTGGACTCCTGTTGGTCAGGTGCTCTATATATGAGATCTTTTTAAAGCACTTGATTCATACTGTTGTTGTTATATAAAAAGTTGGATTATTTCTTATGAATAATATTAAATCTAAAACTTTTGCCTGTTTTCAATATTTGAAATGTCGTTGGTTTCAGGGTTGGTTTTTTTCCTCTTTCCACTACTGAATATCTTTGTGGCCTCAGATGAAAGTGTCTTCATCTCTAGGACAAGGTTAGAGGAGGAGCCCACCCAGGATCCCTCCTGATCTAATATGTTTGGTTCTGTGAAATGATTCTGAGACTGGTTTGGTCATCTGTCTACAAAACCATCTTGTCCATGTTTGTGTGAATTGCAAACTGTGTGAACTACAAACTTGACTACCACACCATATCTGGAAATAGACATACAATCTAGAAACTTTCAACCTTGATAAAGATTTAGGGAAATATGATCATTTTTGTTTATTTCCACTTAGCATTTGGTTAGATTTTGAATTATAATGGCTTCCATGATCGTCTCAGTTTTCTGTATAAATAATATTGTAATGCCGAGTTCAGATTGTATTTACCCAGTTTATTGCCTTACCTTTGTCCAAGCTTTCCTATTTATTCATACAGCCTTTTGAATTGGAATTTTATTTCTCAGAAGAAATATAAAATCTTAGCATCTGATAGCTGAAAAAGACTTTAATGATCACCTAATTTAATCTCTTTCAGATTTTAAATGAGCACACTCAGCCCCAAAAGGTTAAGTAACTTGCCTAGATGTACTCAGCTAGTTATGATTGAGCTGAGAACTAAGAAAATCATGATCTCTTGGCCCCCAGACCCCTGGCTTTTATTACCACCACTTCCAGCTTGCATATTGCTCTGTACATTTCTTCTAGATCATTTATCAAAAATGTCCTGGGAAAATTTCATAACTAGACTCTAGAATATAGAGATATCTAAGAAATAGGCTAACATAGTGATCTAAAGTCTTGATGAGTATTAGTAATCTAAAATTTTGGTTGCATTTTTATTTTTAAATCTGTATTAGGAGGAAGTTAACAGTTGTGAAAAAAGTGAAATTCACAAGACCCTTAGAGACCAAGGATTAAAGTGTTGATTTAAATAGGGCAACAATATTAGGAACCTTCATTCAAATTGATTTCCGATTTATTATTGCTAAATTTTTTATAAAATACACACAAACACGAGCAAAGTTCTACAAAAGAATGTTTTCATTCATATAAATGGAGTTTTGTATATAGGTCTTCAGTGAGTGCTAAATTATTATTTTTCTACATATGTAACCACCTGACCTTCCAGAAATGGTCTTTTTTTAAAAACATTTACTTATCATCTCCTACTGGGAAATTCAAGACTTAGACAACTCACTCAAACTTAGGAAGTTTAAAGTGTAAATCTCAAAAACATTAGCAAAATTGTCTAATAAATTTTGGATCTTTAGGTTTAAACAATTGCTTTTTATGGATTTTTTAAACATAAATATGTTAATTATAAACATTCTTTTAGGGCAGCATTAATTTTTGTAGATTTTCTTCAAGTTCTGATTCAACACATTTCTCTTGTATGGAAATGGTCACATTGGTAGAAAGTTACCTTTATGTCAATATTTAGGGATTATCCTATTAATAAATGTCTTCCTTGAGAATTCACATCTGAGGATTTACAACCATCATATGAAAAGAAACTCATCAAAAGACAGATGGCAACTAACCAGATTTGGAACACACAAAATAAGAAAATCAATAGTAGGACTTTTCCAACAAGAAATTATTTTTTTGCCCTTGTAGCCCAAGAACTTAGTTCAGCTCAAGTGTAAGAGCCTGTGTAGATGCTAATAACTTCTGAGGTTTTCTTAACTATTATTTCACAGTTTTCTGATCCATTCAAAACATGGTAGAATTTCTGCCTAAACATTTTGAAGTTGTACTAGGCAGAAGCTGTATCCTGGGAGATAAAGATTCTTCGTGAGTTATAAGTGAAAATTATAAAACTTGATGAAATGATACTCTAAATTATCAAAAGGCAGTTAAAGACAACAAATTAGGTAACAGTATTTTGAAAACTTAAACTTTAGATTGAGGAAATTTGCATGATTTAGAGATTCCCTGGTACCCAGGGATGCATGATAATCTTTTCTTTTTGTTTTAAATAATTCTTACCCAAACATCACAGGCTTCTTAAAGAAGCCTTTAAAGTCAGATGTTGTAATTGTATGTGCCTTTTTTTTCCTTTTTTTAATTGGCAAAAGAAAAGAAAAGAAAAAGGTTTCCTTTTTAAAAACTGCACACACTTTTTTGGGGGGTAATAAATGAACATTTTTTTGTTTGTTTTTTTTAGAACTGAGCTCTCCATAGACAAACATAAGTAGCATAACACAGTGTCTTTCCTCAGACATCATTCTGTACAGTAAATCAACATAAACAACTCCGTTCTTATTGACTGGATTTTTTCCAGGTGGGTTAATTGGGTGGGGAAAGATTAATTAACCTTAACATTTGGAGCCTCTTTTCTTCCTGTTAAACTTAAAGGATGAGTTCTTTTTTAAAAAAAAAAAAGGTAATAAATCAACAACCTTATGTCATATAGAGAAAATGTTTGTAATGACTGAAATTAAAAAATATGTAGAACAGTTAGTATTTATACACAGAATGGTTAGGGATCATCTGAATGCATTGGGACAGTAATCTGAGTAAACTAGAAACCAAATGGTAATTATCAGATTTCTTCTCAAGCTCAGTGCAAAGTTGAATTCCAAATATGTGGATTTAAAAAGCTGATATTACCTTTTTACACTGTCTAGCACAAGTATCACAGCTTTTAAAAATAATGGTTCTGAAACTTGGGAAGTGAGCAGTTCTCTTTCCTCTGTTTAGAAGTTTAATTTTGCTTTTCTTTAAACTCATGCCACTCTTGTTAAATGTGGTTGTAAAAATGCTGAAATTTTCATTTGGAAGTGATCTTTAGCAGGATCAGGAATTTTGCCCAAATTTTTTTAATGCTGAAATTTGTTTTAGTATTGTAAGATATGTATGATTTCTGTACATTTTCATAAAGTATTTCTTCGTTTTATGTTCAGCATTTACAGCCGAACAATACCAGCAACACCAACAGCAGCTGGCTCTAATGCAGAAACAGCAGCTTGCGCAAATTCAGCAACAGCAAGCAAATAGTAATTCCTCCACCAACACTTCACAGGTGAGGGATTTGTCTGTCTTATGATTATCCCTCATTGTTTCCCACCAGAGTTCATCTCTAATTACCAACTGTTGTCATAGAACCTTGCATCTAACCAGCAGAAAAGTGGCTTTCGCCTGAATCTACATCATAGCCATTCTATACAGGGTTTAGAAAGAACATTGCAGGTGAGTATGGAAGCTGTTGCCTCTGCTCCCTATTTTAAAAAGTAAAGCTTAAAAGCATAGTTAAATGAGATGGAGACCCTGTCTGCAAGTCTGACCTGTAGTCTGTGAATGTACCTCTTAAAATATAACCTTACCCAGCTCATTATCTTGGGTAATTTAATCATTATTAAAATTTATTTAAAATTATCATACTAAAATAACCTCTTTTACTGTTAAAAGAAATCACTTTTAAACCTAAAGCGTGATAAGTGTTTGCCATTTAAACACATTTATGGCTTAAAGACTGAGATTTGCATCTCAGCATCTTGGAGGAAAAATTCATTTAAAACATTCAAGGGACCTCTTAATTTCTGGGCTAAGATATGATGTGATATTTTGTTACTTCCATTCTAAAGGCATAGTTATCTTACTATCCCAAAGATGTCTTTGGCTATGTGTGTATATATGTGTAAGTAAGGTGAAAAAAGTTTACGTACTCATTTATCCATTATTTGTATTTGCAAATCACTGAAATGTTTTACTAGCATATTTCTTGTCCAACACTTTGTATGGGAGGTTTACTGTTTCCACATTATACAAGGTTTATTTTGGTAATTTACTTGTCCACATTAAATATTGTCATATATGAAGATGAAAATTCATAATCTTTGAGTTATAAGATTACTTGAGCATTCCTCAAATTTATGAGTATCAAAAGAGATGCAGATATTTCAGTGGCTTGCCACTTTCATTTATATTCAGACTGATTTTGGTAAACCTTTGTAGCTTTAATATTAATTTGAGACTAAGTGATGCTGATTAGATTTGTGTGTTCTTTTTAGGGTTTTATTTCCAAGACTTTGGATTCAGCTAGTGCTCAATTTGCTGCTTCTGCTTTGGTGACGTCAGAACAACTGATGGGATTCAAGATGAAGGATGATGTGGTGCTTGGGATTGGGGTGAATGGTGTCCTTCCAGCCTCAGGTAGGGATAAAGACGTTTAGATTGTTGTGATAATATTTGTAACATAGATCTGTAATAGACAGCAGTGTTGCACGTTGTTTAGATGCTTCTTTCTTTTTCTCTAGGAGTATACAAGGGCTTACACCTCAGTAGTACTACACCAACAGCACTTGTACATACAAGTCCATCAACGGCAGGTTCAACTTTGTTACAGCCTTCAAACATGACACAGACTTCAAGTTCCCACAGTGCACTGAGTCATCAAGTAACTGCTGCCAATTCTGCAACAACTCAGGTTCTGATTGGGAACAACATTCGATTAACTGTACCTTCATCAGTTGCCACTGTAAACTCTATTGCCCCCATAAATGCACGACATCTACCCAGGACTTTAAGTGCTGTTCCATCGTCTGCCTTAAAGCTGGCTGCCGCAGCAAACTGTCAAGTTTCGAAGGTTCCATCGTCATCCTCTGTAGATTCAGTTCCAAGGTGAGCAGTTATTTGAAGCCTAAAGTGTTTGAAAAATAAGAGATCTATCTTAAGTTCTCTGATATTGCTCTCGACTTATTTTTTTTGTGGCTTTTTTGTTGTTGTTCTTTTCCTTATATACATGAGAAATGTATAAATGAGAATTCCTTATTTATTCAAGGACTAAACCAATAATTGTTGTAATTCATATTGTTGAGAATTTGAACTAGATGGTATAGCGCATATTTCATACATGATTTGAACATCACTTTCTTAGTATAATAATAGCTTATAAATGCTCTCATTTTTCTTCCATCTTTGGATGGAAGGAGTTCTCTTTAGAATGTTTCCCTTTTTTGTGATTTCTTTCCCAGTTTCTCATGTAGTCAGAATTGATAGAATCCACCAGGGCTGGTATGCTGAGCTACTCTTGATAATGTAAATGTAAACACTTACAGTGTTCGTGGCAGGTCAACTTTTAATCCAATTATTGTTTTCTGTGCTAACTTGTCGTCTTAGGTTTCAGTAGGTGGTTTAGAATGTTTGCTCAGGCTCTATTCTTTCTTAAATACAATGTAATTAAAATCTTGCTGTTTATAAAGTACTGAGGGAGAAACAAAAAAAAGAGTTTTCACTTTAGTTAGAAGATAAGCAAAAAGTATGAAAAGTTAAATAATGTTAATTGTAAACCATAAATGAAAATCAATCTAGAGGTATCGCAAAGCATTGTATGTTTGTCAGATTATTTGTATGGTCTATGGCTATAATTTCAATTTAAGGAGAAAGCTTTTCACACCAGGGATATTCTGGGAATGTTGCAGAATAAAGTCAGATTTGGGGCTGGCCTGGTGGCTCAGTGGTTAAGTTCGCGTGTTCCGCTTCTTGGCGGCCTGGGGTTCGCCAGTTCAGATCCCAGGTGCAGGCATGGCACCGTTTGGCAAAAGCCATGCTGTAGTAGGCGTTCCATGTATAAAGTAGAGGAAGATGGGCATGAATGTTAGCTCAGGGCCAGTCTTCCTCAGCAGAAAGAGGAGGATTGGCAGTAGTTAGCTCAGGGCTAATCTTCCTCAAAAATAAATAAATAAATAAATAAATAAAATCAGATTTGATCTTGGTTGGGCAGAGAAGAGGAAGAGAGAGAGTTGGGGAAATATAAATGCGTTCAGAGGTTAACAAGTAAACTAGTTTGTGTAGAGGTTTCAGAAGGTTAGTAGTTGAAATTGGAATGATAGGAGGAAGCCAGACTTAGAAAATCTTGGATGCCGGACTTAGATTTCCTCAGCCAGGAGTGGCCGGGAGAGAGGAGCAGGGTTTGTAGCAACAGACCATAGCCTGTAGTTTCCAAACCCATGCATCCCAGTCTGCTTCTGAACTGAAGTAATAATCATCGTCTGCTCAATACTAATCCATTCCTATTAGTATTCTGGGGCTAGTCATAGCTAATGCATCAATTATAGTTATTACTTAAATATATAATACATAGTTTTCATTGCTATAGAATTATGTAACTGTAGAACACTCACAGTGTGTGGTAAACTTTTATATCACTTATTTTAGTCCCTTTGTTTTAAAGATGAAGAAACTGAGATCCAGAGTAAGTTTGCTGACTTCTCTAAGCACACTTAGCAGTACAGGTGCCGGGATGTCTGAGACCCCGCCCTTCCGCCTGCTGGCCCAGCAGCCGTCCTCCTCAGCCCCGTGCATAGAGCTCTGACTTACAGTCCCAGCATGAGTGGACCTCAGTCGCATTTGTTCCTTTTTCTACACTCTTGTGCAAGGTTTAGCAGAGGAGGAAATTGAAACTGTAACTCAAGCTTGGGGATTCTTCGTGTGTTTTTAGCCTCTAGGTTGTTTGGGTGCCACTATACTTGTTGGTGATAGAGTTAACCATGGAGTTTATAGTGGGCGTGAGCCTGACTTCTGGTTGTATACTCCTGATGATAAGCTATAAACTTTTATATTCCTCTACTTGCTAACTTGTCCCAAAGAGTCAAATTTCTTCCTATTATTAAAAATATTTAAGCTGTTTATTGGGTAGATAGTCTTGATTTGTTAAATTTGTTTCAGGTAAGTAAATTATTGAACTTTATTTCAACAGGGAAAATCATGAATCAGAAAAGCCAGCACTAAACAACATAGCAGACAACACAGTAGCGATGGAGGTGACGTAGCTTCCTCAGGAATGGACCTGCAGCCTGAGGACTGGATTAGGTGCTATGCATCAGTAGCATTTTGAATGCAAGGGATGATGGAATGCAGCACATGCGTTTCTGTGGCAGCTGTGAGGACTTGACAGCAATGCTCATCTCTCATGCTTCAATTTTTCTTTTCTTACTGTTAATAGGAAAAAATCAACATCTGTAAATTAAGAATACAGCAATTATCTGTACAGTACTGCATATTTGTAATACCCTTGTATATATGTTACTTGAATACAGAAATGTTCATTTGTGATGCTTTGCACTTGGGGGCGGGGGGTGGGAGGGAAATAAACTGCAACAAAGAGTGTGAGATGTGAGATTGTATAGAGATGAAGTGTCATCACATCATGTGCATGGTGCGGAACCTGCTGTTTTATCTATTTATTGTGCCGTGTTTACAGTTTTTTGTACACTGTACCTTCATTGGTTCCTGTGCTGTAGTAAATGTGTTAGGTAGCTGTGGACTCCTTGGTATTTTGTAAATGGTATAACATAACTTGGTTCCCCTCTGGGTCCCTGAGTTTTCTGTGTATCATGTGAAAAAAATGGTGACATACATACAGAATTTTACAAAAAAAAAAGGCATCAGTTTTTAAAAAATGGGGAATGTACTATTGAATGGGGATCTTCCTGGTCTATCATTAGGACAAGTAACAAGCTAAAATGAAGTCTCTTGAATCTTCCCATCCCCACTTGCCCGCAAAGCTGTGGGCAGTTTCTGGTACTTAAAGCACTAATGTTATGTTGCTGCTCTACAAACAGCCCAGTAGTCCCATTTCCTTCCACACCAAAAAGTGTTAAATCAAGTATGCAAATGGAGTCCTTACAACTGGAGTTTATGTTGTCTTGCCCTTTTTTTAGCACAAAAAAATTGTACTTTTTTATTGTCGAATTGTTTAAAAGACTTCATTCTTTACTTGTTCTTACAAAAAGGATATAAGGGAGAAGAATGCAGTAATTGCTGTACGTGTATCATCATTCCAGTTTCTAAAAACAGCCAGCCAGCTTTTTTCCTTTTAAGATTCTCCAGAAGGCTGCAAGGCCAGAACCACAAATATCGGGTGCCTTCCTTTGGAAATATTTGACCTCTCTTCTGTGAAGAGAAAGGTACTTAACAGACTACTACTAGTGCTTTGTCAGTACCGAAGTCTGAATGCCCAGTCCAATGGCATACATTATCCTTAAGGTTTTTAATCCCACCTGGAAAAATTGTGATAGAATTCTCACAAAATAAACCCAGGGCATTACATGTTGACAAACTAATGTGTAGTGGTCTTTTGCTTTTATTTTCAACTCAAGAGCTTTTGTGTGACTTTAATTAAAGTTATTCAGTGAAGGGGGGACATGGGAATGGGAGTGATAACTTTAAGTTCACTTTTTCTGCAATTATTTATTGAATTGTAACTCTGCTTGGAACTGTTTCAGGTCCTACAGCGGTGAAAAAATTCCTGCCCTCATGGAGTTTATAATCTCATTGGGTGATAAAAACAAAATTAATAAGTATACTTTAACTTGTATTATGGTAAATATTAAGGAAAAAAGTAAGCAAGGAAGGGGGAGAAGTGGCAGGGTGGGGCAGAGGTTGCAGTTTCCGTAGGTGGGCCAGGACGGGCTCACAGAGAGAGGGGGTTACATTTGACCAGAGACTCGAAGGAGGGAAAGCATGCCAGGCAGAAAGAAGAAGTACGAAAGAAGAAGTACAAAGATCCTGAGGTGGGAGTGTGCCTGCTTTGCTAAAGGAAGGCAGTGTGGCTGGTGTGGAGGACCTGATAGCTGATTTTGAGGACTTTGGCTTTTCCTCTACTTGAGAAAGGAATTTGGGGCAGAGAAGTGATGTCATCTTAGCAGGCTCACTCTGGCTTTGGTGTTCAGCAAAGACTGCTGAGGGAGCCAGGGTAGGAAGCAAAGGGCAATAATCTAAGTGAGAGGCAACGGTGACAAGGGTGGTAGTGAGAAGCAGTGGGATTCTGTTTATATTTTAAAGTTCGACCCAGTAAAATTCACTCACTGTCTAATAGATGCCAGGTCCATGAGAGAAGGCAGATTTAAGGATGACTCCAGGGTGTTTGGCCTGAGCAACTGGCCACAGTTGGAGAGCACTGTGGGAGAGGTGCATCTGGGGGAAGCTCAGTTTGGGACTGTTTAAGATATCCATTAGACATCCAAACAGATGTCAAGTAGGCAGCTGCACGTAAGTCTGGAATTTGGAGGAGAGGTCTTGGCTGGAGGTCAGACTTGAGATTCATCTTCAGAGATGAGGTTTAAAGTGTGAATCTGGGAGAGATCACCAAGAGTGGGATAATCTTGGTGTGATAATACAGCTATCACTGATTGGGCGTTTTAGAGTTATACCTACCTTGAAGAGAATTCCCTGTCTCAGCGAGGTGGACTTCCAGTTGTGATAACTACTTGTGTTTGTTCTGTTCTACATTCTTTAAAGAGAAAAGATAAAAAACTGCCCTTCAGTTCTAGTGGCTGATCGGTGTGACAAAAAATTTAAACTACTGTTTTAAATGTACTCAAGAATAATTAGGATTAAGATTTCTAAACAAAGCCTAGCAGATAGAATGAGGCCTGGGCCTCCCCAAGTCTACCTAGTTTGCCTACTGACCACAGGCAAATTTATAAATGGATTGGGCACAGTAAAATGAGTCCTCGCCAAGCATACCCTGTAGGAATTTGAAATAAGTCTTGCACTGGGTAGAAAAGAGGCAGACAGGCAGGTGGTGAGCAACATCCAGGTAGCACTTACTCTCTTTGACCGTACCAACTCTGGGATGCAGAGAAAATACAAAATAGTATCACTCACATTTAAAAAATAAAGAAATTTACTCAAAACTGAGCCTTCAGTCTCTAAATTTCTTGCCATCTGTCCATGTACTCCACTACCGATGTTGTACTAGCCTGAGGTGAAGGACATAAATACAAACGAGCAATTTAAACGCCCAGATCGTAGAGAAAGAGAAATAGGTTATCAAGGGAACTTTGACATCTAGTCTAACTAGTAACTCCCACTTACTGAATATTTACAAAGTAACATCTTATGCATAGTGATTGCCTCGCTTAATCCTCACAATAACCCTTTTAGGTAGCTACTAGGATTATCACCGTATTATAGGTGACATTCATCAACGTTATACAGTGATTGACACTCCAGGACTTGAACTCATTTGCCAGATTCCAAAGCCACTGCGGTTTGTCTCCCCCTGCTTAGTGGATAAGCCTGGCAACAGATTTTTGACATAACTTATTTGTAACCTTTGTTCCTGTTGTGTGCATAAAGAAAACTGCTATTATGCCTTTGTCCATTTCATGAGCAGAAGCCCAAAAAACTTCCCAAACTGTGACCTATTACCATTGATAAGAATTTCATTTTTTTCCAAAAGGACTATGTAAACAGTGTTTTCTGAACTGCAAATTTAGGGGTTTTTTCATGAATATTATAACAATGTACAATATGCTACAATATTAATGTGCAATATGTTAGGTAAGCAGGATTTCACACTCCTCACTAATACTCGAGCAGGTATACTGTTAATCTATTTTATATATTGATATTCTATATAAATTCAACAAAAGGATTAGGCTATGTTTTAGAAGTTTGAAAATAACAGCAATAGAGGATGAATAGACAAATAGCACATTGATTCAACAAATATTTATTAACTAAGCCAGGCACTGTTTAATTCAGCCTGCCCTCAGGTAGCTGACATTCTAGTAGGATATGCATTGAATAATAGGCTAAGCAGAATTTTTTTAAATGGTATTAAAATTGGAATTAACATTAGATTAAATGTCTAATGGAGTCATCTTACTTGAGATTTTGTAAGTAAATGTAACATTTATCCAACTTTGGAAACTATCTGTGGAATACATTATTGGAAGAACCGGATGACAGTTCCAGAATTTTGTCACAAGGGTATATTCTGAACAAATTAGATACAAAAGCAAAAAAAAAGTTTCTCATAGGCAAATGTGAAACAGTGCATTTTGAAGGAGAACCCAGTCTTAGAATGCTCCGGCCAGCTTTGTAGTTATATAAAACAAAGGGGGCAATATGTAGGACTGTCAGTACTGCACAGCATCAGTCTTTACTGAACAGTATTCTGACCACATGTGTTAGTTTCCTGTGGCTGCAGTAGTAAATAACCACTAAAGATGCTTAAAACAGCAGAAGTGTATCCTCTCACAGTTCTGAAAGACAAAAGTAAAATCAGTGTCACTGGGCTGAAGTCAAGGTGTCAGCAGGGTTGAGCTCCCTTTGGAGGCTCTAGGGGAGAGTCCGTTTCTTGCCTCTTCCAGTTTCCGGTGGCCCAGCATCCTTGGTGGATGGCGGCCTCACTCCACACTCTGCCTCTGTCTTCACCTTGCCTTCTCTGAGTGTCTGAAAATCCCCTCTGCCTCTCTCTCACAAGGACACAAGTGACTGCACCTGGGGCCACCCAGCTAATTCAGGATCAGCCCTTCAAGATCCTTAATTTAATTACATCTTCTGCCGTATAAGGCAATATTCACAGATTCTGGGGATTAGGACTTGGATGTATTTTTGAGGCCACTGTTCAACCTTCTCCACCATGATACTTCCGTGGCGCCAAATATCTAACCAAAAGATAGTAAAAAGCAAAGCACAAACAAAAATGTTTACCTTGTATCAAGCCATTGTTACAAGTAGCTGAAATTTTGTGTTTTTAAATTCTGGTTTACCTACATCAAGAAAGAAAATTGTCAGGTTTCCAGAAAAAGCATCCAGAATGATCATGGAGATAAGAGAATTATATTGTGGATAGACTGAAAACACTTGGTCTCTAGTCTGGAAAGATGAGACAGGTTATGACTAAAGTCTTTACAAGGGATATACATAGTGTGAGCATCGATGCAGTTCACCAAATATTGAAATTCTAGAAACAAGCCTCCTCACCCCACCCGTCCACACACACATTTGATTCTGGGAAGATATCTATGATTGGAGGAAGGATATCTATGATTGGAAGATATCTATGATTGGAGGAAGAACGATATAAGTTTACAGTGAGTGAATTTAAGGCACTGACTGTGCGTAGAAGTTAGCTAAATAAGTTCATAACAGGTTTACTGGATGAACTAAAATGCATACGCTGTTATGGTCAAACTAGGGATTCTCTACAATAAATCTTCCAAGGTAGCCATCATAAAACCAACTCTAATTTCCCTTACACTAATCTGATTTGACTCAAGTCAAATTTTATTGTTTATCATTTGCACTCTTGACTCTAGGCTCAACTCCAAGCCTGTACTGTTCAATATGCTAGCTACTAACCATGTGACTACTTAAGTTTAAATTAATCGAAATTAAAGATTCAGCTCCTTAGTCACACTCGCTGCATTTCAAATACTTAGCCATTTGACATAGTGGCCACTATATTGGACAGAGCAAGGTATCGCTGCAGAAAGTTCTGTTGGACAGTGCTGTTCCAAAGCCACACGTATGTCTGTCTATTGATCATTTCCACTTGGATGTCTTCAACACACTTCAAGTTAAACATGTTCCACACTAAGGTCATCTTTCCTCTTCCTCCTTGTTCCTAAAGAAGAACCCACGCGTGCAATTTGGTTTTTCTCTAGCGTTCTCTGTTTTAATAAATGGCACCATTTACCCATCTTATTAAGCCAGAAACCCGAGTCATCCTTGTTTCATGTCCTATATGTGTTCAATTGGTATATTTCTTTCCACCTCCTCGGGTGCCACATCTGTTCAGGGGCCATAACCTCTCCTTTGGATACGGCTGCCATTTCCTAACTGCCCTCCCTGCTTCTGGTCTCAATTCTAAACCTTTCTCCATCGCATTCTGCTGCCAGAGCGTTCTTTCTAAAACTCAAATCTGACGATATTCAATGCCCTTGGGTGAATTCCAAACTTTTTCACGTGGTTTACAAAGACCAGCTTTGACCACTTTCCCCTCCACCTTCTCTGCTCCAGCCCTAATAGCAGCTAATGTTTACTGAGCACTCAGTGGCAGCACCACACTGCACAGAACGTCTGCGTCATCTCAGGTGATCCTCAGAACCGAGGCCACCGGGCGTTAGCAATAGGTTGTGCTGCTATTAACTGTGTGGTCCCGTGTAAATGGCACCTTCCCCCCAATTTACAGATGAGAAATCAGACTAAGAGGAATAAAGCAACGTGCCCCGGGTGGCATGTATCTCCGAGCCACTCTCCTGAGTCCACATAGGTAATTAAAGGCCATAGTTTTAAGTAACAGGTTAGCTTTAGAGAGGACAAGTGC